AAATTTACGTATTAATCTAGATATATTATGCAAATTCAAATTACAATTATAAATATTAGATTATTTAAAACAGGAACAACAAATAAAATAGTAAAATACAAAATTATTGTAGGTATATTTATTTTTTAGTTGATAAACTATAATTATTTTGATAATTTAAAAGTATAATTAAAATAATAATAGTTCACAAAACACTAAAAAAATTTTTTGGTGCTAAAATATCGTTCGGTTGGAGTATAAATCACACTTATTATAGTGTTTTACCGTTCGGTTGCGCTTGCTTTAAGCATCGATTAGGCGAATACCTAGAACGATTTTTAGAACAATGGAAAAACCCAAATAATTTGTTGCTTTATTATTTCAAATGTATGATTATATTTAATTACAAAATTTAACGGTTACGAAGCAAATTGACCCTTTAATAACATGGTAAGTAGGCAACTTTTTTAATTAGAAAGAAATGAAAATCTCATCAATTAATATTAATACGACTCATAAATAAAATCCCACGAGTACAACAAGTGCAGGCGAAAGGGCAAAAAGTAGAGAGAATCAAATATGCTACATCTATAAATTAACGAAGCAGCGTCTCTCTCTCTACCCCACCGCATCTCCTCCAACCACTTGTTACTCTCTCCTCCCTCTCAGATCTGCATTTACTAGAGAATCTGCATCTTTATAATCACCATATGGTTGGAGGAGCTCTGGAATCTGATCAGATCCTGGCTATGTTGACCTTGAACGAAGATTTCGATCCCATGGCTGTGGTGGCCGAACCGCTACCTTCTCCGGTGACAAATGGAATCGGAGCAGACGACGAGGAGAGCCTGAAAAAGACGGAGGTTAACGGCGGAGAAAGAGAAATGGTTCTTGGCAGGAATGTTCACACGACTTCCCTTGCCGTAACTGAGCCGGAGGTGAACGACGAATTCACCGGAGACAAGGAGGCTTACATGGCTAGCGTTCTAGCCCGTTACCGAAAAACTTTGGTTGAACGGACCAAAAACCATCTAGGTAAAGAAATCAATATTCATCCAAGAATTATTCCTTGATGTGAATCAAAATCAAATTGTGTAGGGTATCCATATAACTTGGATTTCGACTACGGAGCTCTTGGGCAGTTACAGCATTTCTCCATTAACAATCTTGGAGATCCGTTTATAGAAAGCAACTATGGCGTACACTCGAGGCCTTTTGAAGTTGGCGTCTTGGATTGGTTTGCTCGTCTCTGGGAGATTGAGAGAGATGACTATTGGGGTTACATCACCAATTGTGGTACAGAAGGAAACCTTCATGGAATTTTAGTTGGGTACGTTTCATCTCTGTGATTTGAGCTTTTCATGTTTTGTGGTGCTTGATTTGATACTCTTTATGTGAATCGTTTGATCTTTGTAGGCGAGAGGTGTTTCCTGATGGGATTTTGTATGCATCGCGTGAGTCCCATTACTCTGTTTTTAAGGCAGCTCGTATGTATAGAATGGAGTGTGAGAAGGTTGATACGCTCATCTCTGGGGAGATTGACTGTGATGATTTCAGACAGAAACTCATGGCAAACAAAGATAAACCGGCCATTCTTAATGTTAACATAGGTTTGGTCTCTTTATCACTTGGTTTGTATTAGGGGAAGGTGGGATTTTTCTTGATGGTTACTTACATCTTCCTCCTGCAGGAACAACTGTCAAAGGAGCTGTCGATGATCTCGACCTTGTAATCAAAACTCTTGAAGAGTGTGGCTTTTCACATGACAGGTTCTATATTCATTGTGATGGTGCTCTGTTTGGACTTATGATGCCTTTTGTCAAACGCGTAAGTGGACAACAGTCTTCAATCAAATTATTATGATAACCTTATTGTACTCTGACCAGCTTTTTTTTTTTCCTCTCCACAGGCACCAAAAGTGACCTTCAATAAACCAATTGGAAGTGTAAGTGTGTCGGGCCACAAATTTGTCGGGTGTCCAATGCCTTGTGGTGTTCAAATAACAAGAATGGAACACATCAAAGTCCTCTCGAATAACGTTGAGTACCTGGCATCGAGGGATGCAACAATCATGGGAAGCCGGAATGGGCATGCCCCTTTGTTCCTATGGTACACCCTAAACAGAAAAGGGTACAAAGGATTCCAGAAAGAAGTTCAGAAATGCCTGAGAAACGCGCATTACCTCAAAGACAGACTCCGTGAAGCCGGGATCAGCGCTATGCTCAACGAGCTTAGCAGCACTGTGGTCTTTGAACGGCCTAAAGATGAAGAATTTGTGAGAAGGTGGCAGCTCGCGTGCCAAGGTGATATAGCTCATGTGGTGGTGATGCCAAGTGTTACAATTGACAAGCTCGATAATTTTCTGAAAGACCTGGTCGAACATAGATCGGTCTGGTATGCGGATGGATCTCAACCACCATGTCTTGTATCGGAGGTAGGAACCCACAACTGCATCTGCCCAGCTCACAAGTGACTGCCATTTCCACCACCACTTCCATTAAAGTAATTCTCACATGTTTGTGTTTCTTGTTTTAATCGCTCTCCTTGTTTTCATCAGCGTCAAATTTTGTCAATGTCTCGTATTCGTGCAAGTCATGGTTTTAAACAATGTTCACAAAAGGCTAATCAAACGATTCACCTTTGGGGTTCATATCAATAAATTCATTAGGTGGTTTATAAAATTCATGATTCACCTTTGGGGTTCATATCAATAAAATTCCTTTGTATCTCACTCCGAGCATTAAAATTTCAGTTCTCTTCTACCCCAACACATTTGTTCTATCTGATATCTAAAAGCAATTTTTTTCTCCCGATTATAGCATAACCTACCTACGGTACTTAATCAACCGATTTGACTGCGTAGATCATTGGTTTTAAATGCCTTGAAGTGTTTACTAGAAATATTATGTGGAGATCATTACAGTAGATACTACTTTTAAAAGATAGGCTGATACCATGAACATATCTGCAGCATGGACGTACAATCAAGCTACCACAAAAGAT